TCATCACTACTTTTTCCTTTCAGTGTTTCTTTCTGCAGACACTCTGTTTTTCTGCTCAGACGTATGAATGTGTGAATATGAGGCTGTGGCTGGAGTCGTTCATTCATACTCGTCAGATGTTTGTTCATGAAGTAATATGAGACACAAAGGAAGGACAGGAGGCCCAATAAGACCGTAGCAAAAGAATATTTATTCTTTTTTACCGTTCGTTCCTGGAAAGTGCATCATAGATTTTACAGTAAGCAAAATTCATATTTAAGACATGAACACAACCGAGCGACATTCACAATCATCATTTTGGACAGTGTGTTGCATAGGAGGAAACGTCTCTTAAGCAAATGTATAAAAATTATTTATATTCAGATGAAAAGGGGGGAGGTCGACGTGGGCATTGTTGTTCCATCAGAGCAGGTGTGGTTGGTCATTTGGCATCTATGCTTTAACCAAGGCAGCGAACTCTGCAGGGAGACACAAGCACACACACCGTTAGTTAGTCAGTCGGTGTCCGGGCGGCGCGCGGATGCTGCGCGTGTCGGAGGAGCGGCTCGTACCATCAGCGCCAATCTTGCCGTCACCGTCGGAGTCACCGGCCTTGAGGAAAGCCTTGGTCTCGGCGTCGGTCAGTGCGCGTGCACCTGCGCTGAAGTTCTGCAGGAACAGCCTGCGGACGGGAGCGCGCTGGTGAGTTCACGGACCTCAGCCTCCTGTACAGCCTGAGTGCTGGTTAAATGTCACTGCGCTGAACCTGATATTGAGGCATTTATGTGACTGCAATAATCAAAGCTATGTCAAATATCTTGTTAACTTTATTGAAAGTCAGAAATAGTTTGCCGAACCGGAGCCCAGTTAAAGATATCTGACCCCTGGCTCCCTCCGCATTCCTGCAGCCTCCCCGTAAGCGGGGACACATTTAGTCTCCTGCACTCTTTGTTTTAGTGTGAGGCTGTCTGTGTGTGCGCCTTACTTCAGCTCATCCTCCTCAATGAAACCGCTCTTGTCCTGGTCAATGATGGCGAAGGCCTTCTTGACGTCGTCGGCGCTCTTGCCGGCCAGACCGCATGACTTGAAGAAAGCCTTGTAGTCAAAGGAGTCAGCAGCTGGAAGACACAAACACAGCAGCTGTGTGTGAAGCAGACTGATCAGGAGGGACAAGAGCGAGCCTCAGTCAGGACGCGATTATTCACCTTTGCACGCATCCAGGGCTGCAGTGATCTCAGCATCATTCAGTACACCTGCGAAGGCCATTATGAGCTGCAGAAACCAAAGAAGAATTCGTTAACACACTTTGAAAGTAGCTGCCGAGCTTCACACAGTCACGCACTGTTGTCTCACTGCAGTTTATCTACCGGTGTTATCTCTATGAGCAAATAATGAATGAAATGAGACTAAAGAGACGCTGAACGTTGAGCTCATCACCACTAAAGCAGCAGCAGCAAAACATCAGGTTCACTCATAGATTACTCCAAATGGAATAGAAATAAATCAGAACATAAAGAGTCCAGATTGAAACGGTTCAGTCCGCTGCTCTGTGGTCCCATCTAAAGATGCTGGAGCTCTGATCAGTAATCCACGTCTTCCAGCAGCTGACGCGAGAAAACTCGTCTGTTTAGATGCTGCGCTGCAGTGAGGAGTCCTCAGTAATGCTAAGAAGCTGCTGTTAAGTTGCTTTTTTTTTTTTTTTTTTTTTTTAAAGATGCCGAGCGGGATGCTGCGGTTCTGGCTCCCGGCTCTCTGCGCTCCTTTCATTCACACTCACCTCTGGTGTCTTTGCTTTGTAGGGTACAGATGACACAGACAAGACTTGAGTCGACTGCAGTGATCATCCCGGTGCTCCCGGTGACCTTTTATAGTTTCCCTCCATCGAAATCTGAAGCATAAGGTAACTGACACCGGGAAGGGGGCGGCCAGAATCCACACAGCCGTCTATTTTAAGTTTCACAAATGAAGACGCTTAAAAGGTGCGTTTGAAGAAGTCTTTAATGTACCCTCACCGCTAAGAATAGGCCTGTGCACTGCTGAGGAGGACGAATTGGAAGTGCTGCTGGCACACACAGCCTTATCCAGGAGGGTGGGTCCTGAGCAGGGTCAGAGCTGCACCGCTCGCTGGTTCCGTAGCTTTTCTTATTCTGCTTGTGATTTTACTCTAAATCTGTTGGCATGTGTGGACCAAAGACTCGTTCTGTATTGTTCATTACATAGTGTGTCTTGAAAATATGCAAAAATATATTTTCCTTCACTTGTGTACATGTTGTCTGGAGTGTGGTTGCCACGGCAGCCACCAGCATTTGTCATGTTGAACAGATGCATGTAGTAAAGTTTTATTAAGTCATTTTTCTATTAGTCTGCTTTAAACCAAATCAGCGCCTAACAGCCATAAATATGTGCCAGTCCTCCAAAGTCAGAGCTGCATGTCAGTTTTCTTTCACATGTTTACTGTCCTTTAAGCTGCTGATTCCAGTCAAACTCCACTTGTTCTGTAGTTCAGTAAACTGTTGGTGCTGTTCTATGATGATAAAATGTTTTACAGACATGTTCATGCTTTCAGGCAAATCTTTTTCCCCAATGTGAGAATGATGGATGTGGCTCCACACGGTGCTGCTGCTGGCCTGCAGGTGGCAGTGCTGCTCTGGAGGAACCTGCAGCCTGCTGTCACTATGCCACTTTCTGTTTTGGTTGACAGTAACAAGCTGAGGCTGCCACCTGATAGCGCTGAGGGCTTACAGACTGCTGACTTGCAGTTCCCGCAGCATTCACAGCTTTCCCTGGAATTGTAATTTGACTTTAATTTGACAAATGAGCTGTTCCAGTTCCTTTCTAGGCAGATGCATGGAGACTGTTTTCCCAGAATATGTGGCACACTCCAAACACTGCAAGAGAGTTGAATATATTAAGTGAATCACTTGCTAAGGAGCCCGTCCACAGCTGTAGATCTGCATCTTTGCAGTGGGTTTAAACTGTTGGGAGGTCCTGCTGATGCGACTGTGGCTGTTAATAGCCCTCCTGTTGCCACAGCACATCATCTAATTGACTATGCAGCAGCTGGTGAAGAATTAGACCTTGGAGGAGACCATCTAATTACACAAAGTGTGACAGCTATCCATTGCAGCCTTCCTTGGATCCAGGAAGCATGCAGGCAGAGCCCAGTGCGCTGCCCAGCTCCTGGCCCAAGTCCAGCCACACTCCCACTTTTCATTAACCAATTATCAGAACAAGTGCTGGGCAGGCCATTTCAACTGTCCCTCAGCACCTCTGGAGCATTTAAAAGCCCTGTTAGGTGGAGTCTGGTTTAAGCTTCTTCCTCAACCCATTGTGTTGTCATGGCTGCAGCCATGTGAAGCCAAAAGGCTTTAGTTTAGTTTGAAACCACATTTGAATCGATGCAAAAACGATGGAGCTGAACAAGTTCACTTTACACCAAAAGAGTATTTATTCCTGGTTTTTCACTCTGCCTCAAGTGTGCAGATGGTGTTGTACAGTTTGCACAAGTCATTTTTTCAAAACATAACACATTTGAATGACAACAGTAAAATATGTGTTCCATGTTGAGAAATAGTCCGCAGGCATTCATAAATAAGGTATAAAAAATATTCTTTCAGCTGATGAATATTGAATCTTGCGAGGAGTTCGCAGTTCCATGAAAAGAAGTAGATCTTGGTCAATGGAAATTTATGCCTTAACAAGGGCAGCAAACTCTGTGAAAAGTAGAATAAAACTGCCATTAGTAGTGATCAGAATGCATTCAGGTTGGTGTGTCATGTTGGTGGAATGATTTGGATGGATTGGAGCCAAAGGTTGGAAGTATGTGAGTGGAAGTTAAAGATTAAACTGTTGTGCAGATTGTTTTAGAGTCAGTTGGTCGCAGGAATCCAGAATAATCATGTTCATGTCTGCTGCTCCACTGCTTTCAGGAAATATGTGTTTAAGTGTGCCATGCTTCCAGAAGAAGTCTTACCATCAACTCCGATCTTGCCATCACCATCACTGTCACCAGCGGACAGGAAAGTCTTGGTCTCCTTGTCAGTCAGAGCTCTGGCACCAGCAGAGAAGTTCTGCAGGAACAGCCTGGCAGGTGGACAGAACAGCAGCAGTTAGAGATGTGCTCAGCGTCTGGTTTAGTGAATCATTTGTTTTTATCGATGGCTGCAGGAAACATTTCACTTCCTGTCTTTAAGCTCTTTTTACTTCTCATGTGTAACTGCTTTGAGAGCCAATAAAACATTGTTGAATTTCTCATATTTGTGCTAAAGCTTGTTCAGAACCTTCCCTCTGTCTGTTTTAGATGTTAACATTAAATGTAAGCTTCTCCAGAGGGTTTCCTGAAGCTTCCAGGCCACAATAAACAATTCAACAAGGCCTCTCTTTAGTTTCTTTAGTGCAGTTGTTGTGCAATTTGACCCTCAGATTGAAATGCACCCATGAGGAGTTGGATATGAGGCTACCCCTTTTTAACCCAGTAAAATGAGATCTGGTGCATATTTTGGGCCCCTGAGGCCTCGGTGTTGAGTTTCAGCTTTAAGTGTGAGTTTCAGGAATGTCTTACTTCAGCTCCTCCTCCTCAATGAAGCCGCTGTTGTCCTGGTCAATGACGCCGAAGGCCTTCTTGACCTCATCGCTGCTCTTGGCAGCCAGGCCGCACGTCTTGAAGAACTTCTTGTAGTCGAAGGAGTCAGCAGCTGGAAGACACATTTTATCACCATTAGCTGCCTGAGCACAACACAGGACTTGAGTGTTGATGTGATATGACAGCTGTAGCTGGCAGTTTGTGTGGCACATTCTGAAACTGAGAGTTTTGTGATCTCAGCCAATTTGTATGAGTTGTTTACCAGTGAAATGCCACAGTGTGCAAACAGCAAGAATGAGGCTGAAGGAATGAGCTCAGTGTGTTTGTGTGTGAAGGTGAAGAGAAGGAAGCTCACCGGCGCAGCCGTCCAGAGCGGCTTTGACTTCAGCATCATTGAGGACACCAGCGAAGGCCATTTTTTATTCTAAGGGAGGAGAGAAGGCAAAGCTTTGAGTTAGTTGAGCATCACAAGTCATATGCAGTGGAAATCATTTTGCATTTTAAATATCAGTCATTCTAGCAAAGCAGTTTAACTACTGATAGTCCTAGCTGAGCTAGTCTGTGGATCTAAGATGCAGAGGGATGTCCAGAGGGTTGGATGCTGCTATTTTCTAGGTTTCACGAATCACATATAAAACAGAGCCTGAGGAGCAGCTCATGCAGCAGCAGTCAGATATTAAGTATTTAACAAGGCTGCTCCTGGAGAATAAAAGTTCAGGCATTATTCAATTATTAAAGCTGTATTGGAAAGCATCATTTTAAGTCACTTGCAAAGCCACGTGTGTGTTTTGCTCAGTGAGTTGCTTAATTTGCGGATCGTGCCATGCAGCTGCAGCAGTCGGGTCGGTTAGCGGCCGCAGAGCTGCTGGTCTGCGCTCAGGACCGCCTGCTGTCCCACAGCGCTGTGCTGCTGTGGCACTAAATAGATGAAGCCTCCGCTGAGAGGTCAAATCACAGCAACATCAATCGCTGCCACAAATAAATAATGCAACCGTGGAAAGGCAGTGATGTCAGAAGCGTCGGTAGCTCTAGGAGAGGGTGTTTATCTCTCATCCGAGTATTTTACGCAAATTATCATCCAGAAAAGTTGATCCTCTGAAATCATCATTCTGGCCTCCTATTTGAATCGTCCTGTGGTTCCGCGTTGGCTATGTTGGGTCCACTTCTCTCTACAGTTTATAGTCCAAAGGGATCCCCTGGTCTCAATCCTTTTCCTCCCAGTGCAATGTGCGCTTGTGGCGCGCATCCCACTCACCTTTGCGCTGCGTTGAGGCGAGTGAAAACCAAGGCGGACTTGAGTGAATGCCACTAGCTGCTCTCCTCCTCGCTTATATATCCTTGAGCAACACCATTTACAGAGCTTTGAGTCTCAGTATCAGGTACCAAGATGCATGGGTTTCGAAAAAATGTGTCTAGTAGTCTGGACCTATTTTTAGGTGAACAAATGAGGATGCTACCATGTGTGCGGAGGCCTATAGCTAGACGTGTGGAAACCTGAGCAGACCCGCTGCCCACCGACATGTTGCACCCATGATTTACGGCCAGACGTTAAGATGCTGATTTCGATGTTTTAAGTATCCCCCGAGAATATTAATGAAATGAGCGCTACGTGTGAGAGCGCAGACTGGAGCCTTTATTCCAGCTTGTGAGAAACGTTGATGGAGCACCGAGGACAATTTAACTGCTGCTCACTTTCTTAATTAACAGAGGAAATCATTTATTCCAGGCCTGAGCCATGAGCCATCACTCTGGAAAGAAATAAGCCATTAGAGCATCAAAAGGACTCTAAAATGCTGCATTTAAACCCACCGCTGACTTTCATCTCATTTGTGCAGTCAGTACATTGTGTGTGATCCACTGCTCATTAGAGCTCATAGGGGCCTGGTGCATCTGTTTGTTCTGTATTCTGTGGTATCAGTTGAATTTTACACCATTCCTGATTCTGCAGCGGGTCTGTCCGACCTCATGCTGCTTTACTTTATGATGTGCCTGCACTATTTCACACTCTTGTGTCTGGTGGAGTCGCTTTGCAGTGAATGTGCTTGATCTCCTGCTTATTTCCTGTATATTTATAATTCTTGTCAATCTCATGAGTTCATTATATTTTATTGGTGTCAGTGTTTCTATTCTTGCATCTCAAGTGCTGGAGTTGCGACAGCAGGAGATGTTGTCAGATGATGGATAGGCTGTATGTGCGGCTACATGCTGCCCTGTAACATTAACTAGCTCTACCTACAGTAAAAGCTACAGTATATGTCCATAAGGTTCATCTGACATCCACATGCTGTGTCGAGTTTCAACAAACCCAGCACCCTGATGGGGATGAGGCTTTGAGGCCTTTACCACCAGATCCTTGTCCTTAGTAGGCAGTGCTCCAATCATTCAGACTATTTTTTGCATGCCGTGTGATTGCGTGTGTGAACAAGATGGCAATTTGTTGACAACTCATTTTACTCTGACACATTTGCATGCTCCAGAGGCTGCTGACGCTGCCTTTTTCTTCATATTTTAGCCGGCCATGTGTGGCTGATTAACACGTATAGCCATCAGGACTCTTTATGAAACGTAAACCCAAGACTGTTGACCTCAGTGTCTCAGTTCTGAGAAACCTGTATATGTGTGTGTGTGTATTTTTTTTTTTTTAGCTATAATTAGGTCTACGGTGCATATTTCTACCTGAGTCTGCAGGAATCTGAAAGCCGTCCAGCAGAAGGCAGTGCGAGTCCTAATAAGGACGGCGTGGGGATTTTTTGTATGGACCCACATGTTCTAAGATTTTAAGAAGATTTCCATGAATTTGAATTCAAAATAGTAAAAGTTAATCTGATAGATTAAGCGTAGCAGCTGGACTTGCTTGAGTTCGTTAAGACGCTTCACCTCTCAGGCTTCATCAGTTCAGAACTATGAAGCCTCTTGGATGAGAGGTGGAACGTCTTCATCGAACTCAAGCAAGTCCAGCTGCTACGATTAATCTACCAGAATAACCACGACCTGGAGGACTGAGAATCTTCACAGACACTAAACGTTAATGCTTTGTCAGAACATAGGTGTGGCTGAAGTTAATATGAACTAATGTGCAGCATTAATCAGAATTCTTACCGTTATGCCACTGATGTTGCATGTGTGTTGTATAGCAGTTATTTTTTTTTTATGCATCAAAAGCCACTACTTCATCCCAAATATTTCACATCTGACAGAATCACCTGACGTTCCTTCACTGGTCCTCTCAGACCACCAGCGTTCATGCTGCATGTCTGCATTCTGCCATAAAGTCAAATCAGACACTTATTGCAGGACTCACTACAGGTCAGGTGGAGAAAAAGACCAGAAGACAGCGGTTTCACATTTTCAACACATTTATTAATCAGGTACCTGATTGATTAAACACACACAGATCTAATATCCAGCTTTAGCCATCAGTTCACCAAACATGTTATCACATCGACAGGGAGAGCAGCAGGCAGGTACACAACATCTGAGGTTTTTGGTCTTTGCATTAAACAATCTGGAAAGTCAAGATCTCCGTCAGAAATCCGTTATTCAAAACAGGGAAAGACAGTCGTGGCCGTAGATGTTTATTCTCTTTACTTCAGGAGATCACAGAACTCTGTGGGGAAAAGAGACAGAGGGAGTCAACACTGGAATCAGATTTCTGGAGGGAAGGGTGAGGGTCAGGCTGGTGTCACACAGCATTACAGTTAAGAAAGATGACTAAACTTGAGTGCAGAGTTCTTTAGTTTTATTTTTTTTTTATCTGTGCTTTTTATAGACTTAGTTTCAGCACTACGTGGTGGACAGCTCCACTGTTTAAACGGCTGCTTTACAGTCAGCAGCTCCTCCAGATGTTTCACAAACACCCACCTTCCATCCCAATCTTGCCATCGCCGTCCTTATCTCCTGCAGCCATCAGATTCTTGGTCTCGGCCACAGTCAGCTCTCTGGCCTCTGGACAGAAATTCTGAAGGAACAGGCTGAAGGGTGGACAAAGAAGCAAAATCTGTGATAAGCTCAGACTTAAAAAATAGACGTTCTGTTAGCTGTTGCCTTTTTTCTCACTCTCTAGGTCTTAATCTGCATCAGTCACACACCTCGTGTATTGCTCAGTTCATTCATGGTGGAAAGCGCTGCTCCATTCATACAGGGACCTCCACCACAAACACACACACATACACCCATGTGCAGCGCCATCAGGCTTCTTCAGTTCTCTGAAGCCTTTCTCTGACCATAACTACCACTGTCCCAACCTTAAAACATGCCTTCACCTTAACATGTGAAGACTTGTGTTATGGGGACTTGCTTTTTGTCCCTGTGAACAGAGCTAGGTCCCCACAGCATAAGTAAAACTGGACCATCCTCACCGAAGCTCCTCCTCCTCGATGTATCCGCTCCTGTCTTGGTCCAGGACCGTGAAAACTTTTTTTCTATCTGCATCAGATGAGCCAGTCAGTCCCACTTGTGTAAAGAAGGACTTGAAGTCGAATGTGCCCGGAGCTACGAAGGCACAGAGGAGAAGAAAGAGAGCGAGAGAACCAGACACATGTGAGAGTGAGAGGTCAATCACGGAAAGGAGGCGAGAGAGAAAGAGTGGTGGGAGGCTGAATAGAGATGTCGCATTTACTCATTCGCTCAGATGACTTGCATTCTTCAGCCGGTGACATTTACCAATATACACCCTGTAGCGCATCACTGCCTCATGCCATTACAGGCTGTGTCATTATGCCATTGAAACAGTCAAAGCACACTGGATATGGCCCATGGCTCTAATGCAAACCTAAATGTTAGGAGCCCTTTATCAAGACGTTCTGAGGGGAAACTCTTATGAAAATGAGTTCAAATAATCTAAAAGGATTTGCTGAGGAAGAGCTGCCTCCACTGTAGGAGAAAATACTTTAATGATAAAAAGAATCTTAGAAACAGCAGCATCCCCAACCCTAATTCACATGTGTGTGCAAGTTTTCACCTCTAGTCATAAATTACAGAAATGCTGCCCTGTTTGATCGACGCGTGCACAGCTGACAAAGTTTGAATGTTATTTTGCCTGAAAAGTGGCTAACAGGCGGGTTTTCTTGTATAAAGGGCATATGAGCACTGACATTTGGTTTCCATTGGAGCGACTGAGCTCTGTCCGCCTTGTCATGCAGACATAATTGCTAGAGATAAATAATTAAGTGCTTTGGGATGTGAGGACTTTAAAGCTTGTGTGATTTGGTCTTCTCCGTGCGAATGTGCAGCATAAACACTTTGGTATTTGCATGGTAGCTGCTCTCCTGCCACATGGCTGCCTGGTTACCTGCAGACGCCCTCCCCCACTGTGAACAAACACATCATTCAGGTATCCCCCTGTGGGAGTGGGTCTGACAATGCCTCTCTGTGTGTGCTTGTGTGAATGGATGTATATTCCCTTGCTGTAAAGTGCGTGTTCTTGTGTTCATGCTTGTAAAGTGTGTGTGTGCGTGTGTGTTATCTGACTCACCTTGACAAGCCCGGACTGCAGCCTTGATGTCCTCGTCGCTCAGCATCCCTGCAAATGCCATGGTCCTCTGTGGCTGCCTGAGGGATGCAAACACACACACACACACGCATGCACGGAAGAAATGCAAAGTGACAGTGAATGAAACTGGTGCAGGTGTTTTCTGCCGTCAGATGAGAGTCTCTGTCAGATAAAAACAGTCAGAACTTGTGGCGGGATTAAGCATCATGATTCCTCTGTGGGCAGCTTTCACATAGATCAGCACTGTCAGACAGAGCGCTGAGCTGTGTCTTTCATCAGCAGGGCTGCACCATCTTAACTATAAGGCACAACCACATTGCAATTACAGCAATGAACTTTTTTTTTTTCAGTAGGAAAAATCTGAATTCGGAAATTAGAATTACATGAGGATATTTAATTTTCTTTCCTACAAAGGAAGTTGTTGAAACTTGAAAGAGCAATCACATGTAAGGTTCTGTTTTTTTCTTCCTACCTTTTAACACTTATTTTTCTCTCTCTTAAAGCAAAGAAAAATTAAAGACTCACAAGGCGCACACACACACACACACACACACACGGAAACTGCCAGCTATCATCACACAAACGCTGCATCAGAATTTGCAGAAAACGCTTTGTACTCACCGTGCTTCGGCTGAGGTTCGGACGTTCTAAGCAGATGATGTGCAGATTTCTCCTCTCTTGCTTTGTGCCTGTAAGCACCAACACTCTCTTGCAGCTTCGTGATCCAGAGTGCAAGAAGCAACCTGACGTATCTGTCCTCAAATCCAAAGAGATTTCCCCCCACGCCAGCGCCTGCCTCCTCCCCCTTCATCAGTTAATCAGAGCAGATAATTTTTCCATTCATACTGTTTTATGAACTTACGGGCATTTAAAAAAAAATACATTTTAAAAAAATGACATTCCCCTCTAATAATCATAAATACACATTTGTTTACTGCTGCATATATGTGATATTATTGAGGAGTGGCAATATAAACACAACAACACATATTCCATTAAAATGACAGTGAAATACTGGTAACCCCTGGTTTTTTATTCTATTTTTAGTGTCACGATTGTAATTTATTAAAACTTTTAATTACAGTATAGATTATTACAATCTTCTCCGGTAAAATATGAGGTATGCTGTTTAATACTGCAGCTTAACTTTTCAGTAATACGGTGAATGTGTGACCAACTTTAACTGGAGCTGCCAGGAAGCTTTCTCCTGCTATACCCACACATATTCTACTTTTACCAGAGATCCAACAACTCTGTTTAAAAAAAAACACACACATACCACTAAAACACTTAATACAATAAAGGATAGGGCAAGTTACATTTTAATGAATTAGGAACATTTATTTAAAGGCAGCTATGTATGCAAATTATAGTCTAATAAATCTAAATAAATACAATTTAGAAACCATTCATTTAATCAATAAAATAATTTTTAAAAACTCTATTTTAAATACATGACATTACATATTTTTTGCCTAAATGCCTAAATCAAGTTAGCTGTCTAAAAAGTGCTTTGTTAGCTATTGTTCAAGCAGTTTTTTGCTCAGTTCACGCCATCATTTTGTGCAGTAGCCTGTCATTTGTGTTTTTGGCTGCAGAAAGCACCAGATTTTACTGTGTTCAGTTGTTTTTTGGAAAAACAGTACTCTACCGTTGGCATTTGTCTGCATTTTACAGTCATTTATAGCAGTGTAATGCAGAAGCAGCATAGGTAGTAAATGTAAAACCTGTCAGTAGAAAGCTGAAACATGATGAGAAACTTAAAGTGTTGTTAATGATAGTAGCACTTCTGTCTGCTAAGTGTAAATATCTACCATATTCTAAGGCTATTTATAACAAATGTGAAACAACTTGTCATCAAATAGTACCACATGGTGATTCATAATTCCCCTAATGTTGGATCAAACTACAAACATCATCAATGATTTACCGTTATTTCAGGAAAATGATTATTGTGATCGAAATAGGGTTTAATGTTGTTTTTATGGTTATTTAACAACGGAGGTACCAAGTTTTCCAGTGGATCTGACGAAGTGCAGCATCCACATCAAGTCCCCTAGAAAAAAAAAAGAAGTAAAGCTACAAGAAACAGACGCGGATGCTGCTGCAGGTAGCATCAGTTCACCGCTCATGCACCCCGTCCGGCTATAAAATGTGTAGTTTATGGTTGACCCTGAGTCGGAAATAAACCTTTTATACAGACAGGTCGTCTTTCATAATCGGTCTTATGTTCCTCACATGTTCGGCGAGTGACTGGATGTGAGAAGCTTTCTGCAGCTCTGATACAAACCACTGGACATGCATGACTGATAATAAAGCTCGAAGCCGATTGGCCGAGAGAGTTGAGCTAGCAGGTATCCTTCGCTGTGATTGGTCCAAGTGTTTGTCAATCATGTGAAGTTTTACGCCTCATTCCGCGATGTGACGTTGTACAGGAACATGGCGCTTCGGAGGAGAGGTGTATCATGATAGTCAGAGCTATCGATCAAATACCCCGTAGCTGCTAATCTAGAACCCGTCAGGGAGCATCCAGCAGAGATGGCGGGCCGCGGGAGGTGATCGCCGCTTCGGTCTCCATGGACAACAGACGTCTACATTCATAGCGCCGTTTGCTGTCGTCAGCTGAAACTGTTAGCATCGAGATGCTAGCCGAAGCTAGTTAGCCGACGAATAGCAAGTCGCTAAACAGACAGAAGATATGCGTGTTTATGCAGCTCACAGCGGCGTTAAACTGACTGTCAATGGTTAAAACACGATATTTAGCATCGACTCAGCCGCTAATTTAGGACAACCATTTCAGGGAGCTAACACTTGGTTGGCTAAGCTAGCAGGATGGAGAGCCGCCGTGGATGTGTGTTGTTGCTGGCCACTGGGCTTTTTCTGTCGGCGTTCTGGCTGTCTGAAGGTGCCCCTTTTCAGTATCCCCACAAACCAGGTGAGATAACTGACTGCAGGTTCGTACACGGTTCATTCATTGTTGGGTCATTCATCTGATGTCAGGAATAAACACACCGACCTGTTAGCTAACGTTTGCTGGGATGACTAGCTGATGCTAACAAACAGCTAAAGGCTAACAACACAGCAGCTCGTCACCAGGAGGACTGTCGGCACTGAGGGGTTTGATTTCACAGTGAACAGGATGATGGACAAAACCTTTAAAAGTGATAGTAACTGAAAGTGATGGCATGATCCAATTAAGCAGCAACCTGCTTAACTCAACATATTCTGACTGTCCTCAGTTATTCATTAACGTCATCTAGTTTGATTGTGATTAATGTTTAACACCAGGTAGCAGTGAGTTAATGTGGTAGAGCTGAGTGTACCTGCAGGCAGGTACAGGGAAGGGCTTGGTCTGGTCACTGACATATAACCAAGTTTACAGCACAATAGATGGATGTTGACCTACCAGCATGGAAAAGCTGTTTGTGGTTGTGAGGTGACCCTTGAGCGTCCGCTGATGTTGATCACAGTGTCACATGTAACCTACATGCAGGTGTGTGATTTATTATTGCAGTGGATTCAGGACAGACGGCTTATCAGATGTGTCTGGTGTGAGATGCATCAAAGAAAGGTCACTCAGAAGAACATTAGTTGAAAACAACTTAGTTTTAACTGCCAGGTGGTTCAGTGGGTAGCACTCTCGCCTCACAGCTAGAAGGTCGCCGGTTGGCGTCCCATTGAGGACACCCGGGATCTTTCTGCGTGGAGTCTCCATGTTCTCCCCGTGCAGCGTGGGTTCTCTCCGGGTTCTCCGGCTTCCTCCCACAGTCCAGAAACATGTTGAGGTTAATTGGTGATTGTAAATTGTCCGTAGGTGTGAATGTGAGTGTGCTTGGTTGTCTGTCTCTAAGTGTAGCCCTGTGATAGACTGGTTACCTGTCCAGGTGAACCTGCCTTCACCCTGAGTCAGCTGGGATAGACTCCAGCCCCCCATGACCCTAGTGAGGATGAAGGTGTAGAGATGATGGTTGGATGTTTTCCTTGGGTAGCAATGTAATGTTTCATATTTGATCTATTGATAACAAATGCAAAACAGTCGGTGCTTACAGCTTCGTCAATACTCTGACAAAAGCAGGAATTTCAAGATTTCACAATAATCATCAGGTTTTTAGTAGATCAATCAGTTGTAAAGATAATCGTTGGTTGTGAGGTGCCTCCATCCTCTTGGAGGCTCAGTCTGTGGTCTAGCATGCTTCACTGTGAGACATGATATGATGCAGATGTAGACGTGCTGTAGTAAGGGTTGGTAATGTGTAACCACGGCACATTCCAATCTTATCAGCATCAGTCAATGATTAGCAGCAGCAGCGTTGTTTGCTTTATCATAACACAGTATACAGGAAGGTAATGGTGCAATCATAGGCCACTTTTATGCTTTTATTACATAGCAACCAGTCCTTTGCCCCACTTATGTCGTCTACATTTACCTGTGCGTACAAATGGGGTCCAATAACTCTTAATTTGCTCTAGTTCTGATTTAAGTTGAGACTGTGGATGAGTTCACACAAATAAGAATATCTCCTGGGTTGGTCACCTGCAAAACCAGTTTTCAGGTAACAAAAGTGTATTCTGAGGCTGTCGGCGTGTTGGCTGTAGTGAATAGCCAGGTGATACTGGCATGTTTGGTCTCTTTAGTCCAGGTGGACATTGGCCTTAACCTTCCTCTACACACCTCAGTGACTCGGTTACTACCACCACAGCCTGCTGGCATTACGTGTTGCAAACCAGTTAATCTTTTATGTTTCTGTCAGTGGTGAGGCTCCATCGTTTTTGGTTACAGGCTTGTCTGTGTTGTTTGATATTGTTTTACCAGTTTATCATTGAAAACAACAGAAACCCAATCTTGTATAAAAGGAGCCTGAGAAAAGAAAAATGTCCACCAGTAAAGACTGATAAGGGAACCCGGGCTGTCCTCATTTGATTGATAAAGATCGCTGCAGATTCATTTTAGACAAGCCCTCACACATCAGCCACACAATGCCACTCTCCGTCCTGTACATAACTGAAAGCACAGACATCCACTGTTGGATGAAATTTGCGAAAATGGGTCAGCTCCTCTTCTGTGTGAATGCCTACTGAAATATGCAGTGCAACCGAAATAAGACGTGGCAGCTCCCTGCCGTATTGGACCCAAAAACCAGTTGAGTCATTTGGTAGGGCCTGCCAAGTCATAATATGAACCCATGACTCAAGTAAAGCCTAACTGAGGAGAGCTGGTCCCATGTAGCGCTGCCGTGACCCGGCTCCTGGTCTTCCTATCTGACGGCTGCTGCTGCCTCTCTGGGAGTCCTGCACCGCCTGGAACCCTGCTGCTCCGCTCAAACCGACAGAGCGTGTTTGTGTCAAAAAGCTGGCTGCAATTACAGCCAAACAGTTTTTTTTCACATGATTGTTGTGAAATTAAGCTTTGGCACTGCTGAGGCCGTTTGAAATTCCCTTTGAACGATTATTCCTGCCACTGCTGGATGCTCGTTTTGTAAGCTGTAGCTGTGGAAGGAGGAAGTGTTTGGTGAAAAATAGACACAAACACATGACGTCTTTTGGAGCTGACTGGAACAGAGCTGATAAGTTTATCATTAGCTCGCTTTTGATTTAATGCTGTTGGAAACTCTTGCCATCCGCTGCACATTATGGAACGTTTGTATTTCATGTTAGGATGATCTTATTCAGCAGTGTGATAATGGCTTGACATGTGTCTGGTTTCTCTCAATCCCTCTTCAGTGGCATCGTGGGAAACCCCAGTCAGGGGGTTCCCTGTCTGGTGTGGGACTGTGATGATACCCAGCTGGGTGTGGTGGTGCTGGGAGGACTGGGCTGGACACGGTGATGTCAGCAGACTGCCAGATGCATGTCGTAGATGTTCTTAGTTCTTAATTTTCAGGGAAGTTTGCCTTCGCTACCTGCAGGGCATCCTGTCATCAGTGCAACGGATGCTCTTTAGATTCAGCTGGGAGTGCCGGGCCATCACTCTGTCTGGGTCACCACAGTTTGTTCTTCTGTTTCTGCAGAGACACGGTTCCTCCTATCAGCCCCCTGTATGGTCTGTCTGCATGCTCGGTGTAGTGCATCCTGTCCGTTGTGTAGTTCGCTTTTCAACAAGCATAAGAGTACAATATTTAGGTATTGGGTCGTCTGGATCCTTTATCTGGCACACTACAGACATTTTTTGTTTTATGTATGAGGCGGCTTCTTTTATAAAGAGAAATTCTTTGTCCTATTCTTCATTCAAATTTCATGCACTCTGTGGTTGTGATTGATGCTCGTTGTAGGGATTGAGTCCGGCTGGGCTGTGTTGTGTTTCACTTCTTCGCCTGCCGCCTATATCTGAACCACAAAAGAGAAGTGGAGCCTTCAGACTTAGCAAGGTCCCTTCACCTTTCTCCTGATGATAAATCACAAAGTAAGAAATGCTTAAATTGAACAGCTTCAAGTACACACGGCCATTTATAGCTACACATCCACTGGGCCAGTGTCTTGACTATGGGCCTATTTAATCTTTAATTCGTCTTCTCATCAATATTTCACTGCAGACAGTTTCTCTATTGCAGTATTTAGCACAGAGGAGAGGTTTGTGGAAAGAATCCTGTAGAAACAGCCATCAGTTACTACTCACGGTGGCCTTGGTGATGCCGCTGATTTAAACACATCGCAGTATATATCGTCTGATGTTCCTAGAAAGTTCCATTTTGCTGAGGATGATTCAGAGTTGTAATGGCACACAGCCTTCAGTGGTAGTTTGTCAGGTGTGGCAGCTTTGGAGACACAGATCAGGATTTGGGAAAACACGAGGTAATGAGTGCACAGCGGCAGAGTGCAGGACGACTTTTATTTTGATCATAACTAAAGAGAACGGATTAAGCAATCTTTTCTATTTTTGTCGGCGATGGCTCGGTGTGCTGTGACAGACTTGAAATGAATCTCAATCATGGCTGACACTTGGTTCATATCTGACGTTCCCCTGGGGCTCAAAGTGGTGGCTGCTCAATCCGACCGTCTGGATGCAGCCCAGCTCCGTCTGACCGGGCCTGGCCAGCAGTACGATCACTGCTCAGCTCGTGCTTCACCCTTGTTTTTAGCTTGTATTTTTATTTATACACGTTTTTTTGGGTGGCAGGCTAATTAATTCAGCTCCACCCAGGACCTTTGTTTCTGGGTGGAGGGTGTGGCTGAAGTCAGAAACCTGCCACCCATGAAGCAATATGGCCACTGACTCATGTTGAGCCAGAGGAATGTGTTTACTGGAGACCAGCTGCATTCACACTCGCTTTTCAGGTAGTTTCAAGAAAGTTCTGTTCAAATGAATGAAATGCAGAAACAGTTGGCGAACAGTGAAATTAGAAACAACAGGCATCACCTGATGTTCAGTATGACAGAAATGCCCTCTTCTGTGTTCCTGCCAGTGTTAGTATCAGCACACATAGTTCATGCACATTTAAATAACTCTCTGTATGTTTTCAGAATGCATGAGTATAGAATAAATTTCTCAAAAGAGTTGCTAAGGACGCTGCAGATTATATACCTGTTAAAGCTTTACAGATCTTATCATAAATGTAAATTATTGGTGACATCGGTATTGTGGAAAAGACTATATAGGAGGTTAAAAGATACCAAAGAATGACGGTTTATAACATTGTGAGCCCATTCTGTCAGCACACACCGTTCACAACATCACCAATCCTAGTTTATTGTGGAAGGAATGCCAAAACGGAAAATGTCATCTTTTAATTTATCTGATATTTGTTTTCTCTTCGAGGTAATATATTATTGTTATTCTATTATTCTATCTTGTTTCTCATTTATTCCAAAGCGGCTCAGACTGTTTGTGCTGCCGTCACACTCGCTACCTGGTGTGAAAACACGAGACGCCGAGGTGTGGGTTTGTAGTCGGGATGCATTCAGAGCACAACTTCATCTGACAGAAATTGGCAGCTGAGCAGAAGGAGGCTCAGTAGGTGAATATTCTCCCTCTAGCAGACAGGATGTACCTGAGAAGCTACAAGCAGTGGGAGACAGAACGTACACAGGAGGGAGAAGGAGAAGGAGACAGATTCTCACCACTCTTTCAGGAGACGCTCGCTCGCTGTCATCCGTCATGCCCCGCTGGGATGTAATGTAGTGTGCTGACATTATGGGTCCATTTACGCTTTGAAAGGCAGTGGGAATTAAAAAAATCAAACAAATGCATTCATTATTATCTGCAAGAGGAAAAAAAAACGTTAATTATTGTTCAAGCCAAATGTAGTAAGAAATGTTGACTTCTTCCTGATCACACAGTGGCTGTAACGACGAGGGAGTCGGAGGCCAGTTTCAATCCTTTCAGATGAACAGCGACGTTTGGGAAATAAAGCGTACATGTGGTGAAAGAACAGACAGATCACTGAGAGCTTACAGGCAGAATATACCTTTTCTTTATTCAGCTGATCAAAATATGGTGTACCCTTCTTTTCATATATGAATGTTATGGACTAGATTCAGCCTCTTTACTATTTTGTGTGCAAAACAGTCTTCGGTAAAAGATGTTGCAGCGAACTGGAAAACTCTGGTCGTGTAAACGTGGGCTGGCATTAGCGTAGTGAGTGAGCAGCAGCTGAGCAGCACAGTGAGTGGGCTGCGAGGCTGCTGTCAGCCCTGACACTTGAACTGCTGGGCCAGCAGCATCCTCTCCAGCCGACCCACACCTGCTGTCACCGCGGGTGCACCATCAGCGGCTAATTGGCCGGTGGACACCCCCACAACTGCCTCTCTGAACGGCTGACAAAGGATAGAGGTTGGGTGGTCTGGTCTGAGGAGTCCGTTATTGTCACGTCATGTTTGCAGAAATCGTAAGACGCGCTGCTCTTGAACAGTGATTGTATGTGCTGCAGCCTGGCGCTTCTTCCCTCTGCAGTGGAGCTGCAATGAGCTGAGGATTGTGAGAGCACTGTGGAGTTTATTTTAGTTTTCAAGCTTAAATGTACCTTTGTTGTGGGTGGATTTAGAAGAAGAGCCAGCACACCCCTCAAGTGCTGTATTACTGTCAGAAGCACTTATATTTATGCCTCTAACTCACCACAGCTGTCAGGCGCCCTCTTTTATTCTCCCCCAAATTATTTTAGTCACAGACATAAACGTGAATGACTCAGCACTTTTTCTGTCTGTTGTTGTGCTTTCAGGTGCGAGTGCAGGGGACGCGGTGTCTGTGTCGCTGTACCTGTCCCTGGTGGTGTCCCTGGCGGTGCTGGTGGCCCTGGTGGTGCTGCTGGTGAACTGTGTGACCTGCTGTAAGGAGAGGGAGATCAACTTCAAGGTGAGAGTCGTGGACAGCCTCACCTGCTGCCGCTGGCTGGAGGGGCTGTAATTGAATGTAGTGACTGAAGGCTGGCGCTGTGATATCATGTGATGTATCAAGGCAGGCCTGTTTTGATCTCTGTAATATCCCACTTTCGATTTTCTGTTGCTGTAGGAGTTTGAAGACCACTTTGATGATGAGATCGACTTCACGCCGCCAGCAGAGGACACGCCGTCTATGCAGTCGCCAGCTGAGGTGTACACCCTCGCTGTGTCCCCCGTGGCCCTGCCCGGACCCCCACACCTCCAACCCCCCGCCCGCCTCACAGGTTCATTTACCACGACGTGTGCACAGTACAGTGAATACCACATATGGCACATACAGATACAGCTGAGGCATCAATCACGGTTTTGATCAGCTGGTTCAGTCTGTTGTCAGAGGTGCCATTTTTGTCTGTCCCTGTCTCTTCAGCATCTATTTTTATAATTCTAAAATTACAAATCTAAATATGCAAACCTTTTAAACCTAGAAATCTGGAGGATTGTGTGGAAGAAGGATGAGTAACCTTTTATAGTTTGCATTGTAACTGGAGCAGTGCAGTTGTACCATCTGATAACGTTCTGTTTGGTCAAATCTCTGTGAAACACTTTTGTGAACACTTTCTTTGGAGATCAAAATTGATATCCCGATTCCAGCGCAGTGAACGAATTGTCAGCTGATCGGGTCCAGCCCTACTCTGTAGGTTTTAGTTTGCGGATTTAAATAAGTCAGCAGTTCAGATGTACCCTCTAAACAGTCAGTTAGGACAGTCTTCATCAATGTTGTTCTGTGTTTGGTGTCACAGACGGATCCACAGGCTTCCAGGTAGCACGTCACAGTCTGAGCTACATCCAGGAGATCGGCAACGGCTGGTTTGGACAGGTGAGGCTGTCTGTCTTCATGTCTGGCATCGTCCCAAATATCCAAACAGGAAATGTTAAGTTAGGGCAATGCTTGATTTAACCAGAGGATGTTTTAAATGTTTTATACTCTGAGTCTGTAGTGGAAGGTTTAGACACAGACTGGTTTTTACTGACTATTCTGCATTTATTGTAGTTAAGTAAATACACGTTTCCACAAGTGATCCTCAGCCTGCACAGTGGACTCCACATCACATGTTATGCATTTGTCCTCAGGTTTTGAACACATCTTGACATCTTTATCAGAGATGTGTGTGTTGTTTGATTGCTTCTTGTTTGGTCTGAAGTGTTGTTTTGTCTGGTCAGGTCCTTCTGAGTGAAATCTACACAGACCCGGGTGGAACCAGAGTGGTGGTGAAGGAGCTAAAGGCTAATGCAAGTGCCAAGGAACAGAATGACTTCCTGCAGCAGGGGGATCCGTACAGGTGAACACAGACGTTTCTCTTTAAGCTCTATAACCCCTCTATTGTTTTGCATTGATTATTCAGGGGCTGGTGGGTTGACCTCGTTCAGATGTGACTGTGGAAGGATGTGCACACAGTGAATGTGGTAAAAATAAAATAGCCCTATGACATCACTGTGGTGTCAGCAGCACCCTCTACCTTCCTTCTTGCATATTGCATCAGACTTAATCTCCTCTGAGTCTATGTGAGTGTTTTTAAAGCTTTTCGTGAGCCCTAATTACCGTTAAATCACCAGCTTGTTGTTGTTGTTTCGTCCTCAGAGTGCTGCAGCACCCAAACATCCTCCAGTGCCTCGGACAGTGTGTCGAGGCTATCCCCTTCCTGCTCGTTTTTGAGTACTGTGAAATGGTGAGTTACCGCATGCTCCATGTGCAGACGAACAAAGAGTAGTTCTGTGCTCATGAGAAATAAATTGGCCTAATCTGACATGTAGAAGGAAGCATTGCTCTTTTCTCCATTTAACAAACAGCCTTTGTGGTCAGTAATTGAGAGATTTTTGCACTTCCTCATTTAGAAGTCTGAGATTTAGCTCTTGTCAGCTTCTTGAAGCCACATATTTACGGGGCAGGACCTCTTTAAAAGCTGTCCATCAGGCTCACATAGGCGACCCTCCTTATAGACCATCTGGACTGGAGGCTTACTCTCAGTCCCAAATTAGCTCTTCCATTTATCTTAACGTATCGAAGTGACTCAGACTCCATCACTGATTTATTCCCTGTTTCTCTTTATCTATTCTGGGGGGGCCATGCTAGAGGGGAGCTCCCTTCCCTCCCTCCAGCCGGTGTCGCATAGCTACTCTAAGCTTGGGACTTCTCACATTCCCACCTCGCCCAGTAAAGCAACAGGCTCCATTTACGCTCCTCTGGTGTCAGCTCCACCAGTTGCTGTTTGTGCATTTTTATGACCGGCACCTTGTGTTTGTTGGAGGCTTTTCAGTGCAGTCTAAAGTAAACTAGGCTATTCCAAAGGAAACCAAAGGGGTTCCCCGTGAAGAATGCAAGAAAACCCCCAAAATAAACGCCACATCGGTGTCTGATTGGTTTTAATTAGTGAGTCTAAAGAGGACAAACCTCCACTATGACGTCTGGTTGTATTGGAGGGAAACTCCACATTCAACTGGTGCATTTAAATCCTCATATTCTGTTGAATACTACTGGCTTGAGTGCAAATGCAGCCTGGTAGCACAGAAGATGTTAATTTATGGTGACTAAAATAAATGCTGCTCGGGTGACACAATCGCTCTGAGTTATTACGTGTCCACCTTGCTTCCCGTTTCTGTGACCTGCTAACACGTCCAGCCCAGTCCAGCCGAACTCGTCTTGCCAGACGTTGCGTAACTTTGTTGGGCTCGGGTATTGTCAGCTCCCCAGACCTGGCAGGTGTCCTGGCATTGTGGTCTTTCCCAGCCAGTTCGAGTAAGGCCTCTGACAGGACATGGAAATGAGTCAAGGTGAATGACTTATCGCAAGTGTGTGCGAGTCATTAGGGAGGATAGCGTGATGAAGAGCACGACCTGTTTGTCCGAGGTGATAATGTGTGAGGGTAACACAACTGAGTGATGTCTATGCTTGTTATCCCTCGCTGGATAAAGGTTTTTTAGGACTTCATCCAACTGGGATCTTGCCTTACACAATATGCGTTTCCTTTCTTTCAATGAGCAAAGTTCAGTTTGCTCTGCTTGCTCATAATGTTTGAAAGCGGCACAGTGATTCAGTCCGTATTAAGGTAAAAGATGACTGGGCCGTGGCTTCCGTCCACTGGAGGCCGTGTCAATCATATTCAAGATGTGGAAACATGAAACGCGACACTGCAGCTGCACGGTGGACAAAGTGAATCCCAAAAAGCCGATATACTGTGACGTTCCCCGTGACAGCCTGTTGATTGATGCCGGTTTTTCCGTGCTGTATCACCCGTGCTGGGTAACCCTGACTCAAAGCATTTTAGACATCGAAATACATCCAGCAACTGGTGCGGGGGCCACAGAATGTCACATACCGTAGTGAGTGACAGCCTGAAATGCGTGGATCTTCTGCCCGGTGCCCGAACAGGAACTCAGTCAGACCTCCTGCTTCAGACCAGAGCCAGCTGACTTTTGAAAGTCGTTGATCTCGTTCATTTATTGCGGTTGTTACAAGAATCCGTTGCTCTTTATGTTATTGTCTTGGCATTTCCAGGCTATACGTTCCTGACTGTGGCGTGTCCTGAAGCACGCTGAGCAGCAGTTGTAGACGGTAGTCCACCTTATGGCTAAAGCTGCCCTTATGTGGTGGGTGTCCTGTTGGTTTCTGTAGGCTAACTGGCCTTTTCGGGATCTTCTTTATTGATCTTTATTGAGCTGATTTAACACAGACTCTTTGGTCACGCATTTATTCCCACTCACTGTATTTACTACAGTCAGATGTCCATTAGTCACGTTTAAAATAGATTAATGAGTTTGGTATTTCATAATGCCTCCTTGGTGTGGTGGTGGCTGAGCTAGACGTGAGTCTTTGTGCTGGAAACTTGCCACATTCTTGTTATCCATGGACCAGACACAGACCTAATTGTTTTTCACAGTTAATGTTGTTTCATTAACAGCCTGGATCTCCCCCCGGAACCCAAACCTGATCACCTGCTGCACAAATGTCTTCACAAATGAAGACAGCCACGCAGTATCACTTACCATACATTGAATATAGCTCTTCAGCGAAGACTCCTTCTCAGAGCTGAGTGGGTTTGTGTGTGTGTGTGTGTGTGTGTGTGTATGCAGAGGTGAATGTGGATGAAGCAAACAAATAGTGCTTACATAAGACGGCTGATCTAAGCTGCTTGTAGAGAAATAGCTCAGGGAAAAGTAAAGCCTTTGTAAAAGCACACACTGGGTTGTAATTCTCAGGAGCTGCATGTGACTTGACATTTTTAACAGCCTCATGTTCAGTATGTTCCTAGGAGCTCACTCCTGAGGGGACTCTGCTGGCTGATCGGGAACCTCCTTCACACATAACACAGTTTTATTTTACACACTCAGGACATCAGATTTAAAGAGCAGTCTTTTGAAATGTCCATCATTTGTAGCTAAATGCATTACAGTGAACATTGTTTTCACCAAACTGTGGTGGAATTTCAGGAAGGTGCTCAGTACAGTGTACAGTTGGTGCGCCGCAGTGTGTTGGGTTTTGGGGAGTGATGTCCACAGGTGTCCAGACAGTCCCAGCCAATCGCAGGCTGTGAACCTACACACAGCTGAGACCCTGTTGTTCAATTCAAATTTATAGTCTGCCGGGATTCATTCCAACCACAAAGACTCCTGTAGGTCTGATCTGAACACGGCTCTTTGTTTCAGTTTCACTTTGCGGCTGCAGCGACGTCACACTGGCCAGCTATCAGAACACCTTCTGGCGTTGTGCTTCCTGTATCACTGTTCACCTCTATAAGTCTCTGTTTGTTCATTACGTCGAGGTGTAATTCATATGTAAACTCCTTTGACCTGCGTTCCTCATGAGACCTTTTCTCCTGTTTACTCACAAACTCTGAAGCCCAGTTGGAAGCGTGCACAGTTAATTTCACGGATCTGAGCTGTAAGCTCTTATTTATAAATCCCTGTGACACAGCATAGAGGTTCCATTAAACGGGGTTACCCTTATTTGGTTCTCTCCCATCAGTGGTGAGAAGTGCTGAGAGGACAGAACAGGAGTGTCTGCTGCCCCTGTGTGGCCATCTCTGCACATTGCACTTAATTAGGATCTCTTGTTAAATTCCTCCTATTGCTATAAAACAACTAATGCTCTGCCGGATGTTTGACTGTCATGTTTGATGCTGACGAGCTAACGAAGCGCTGTGTGTTTGTGTGTCTCTGCAGGGCGATCTGCGGGGCTACCTGTCTCAGCAGGATTGGATGTTCAGGAACGCTGAGTTGCTGCAGCTGCAGAGGATGGCCTGTGAAATTGCTGCTGGTGTCACTCACCTTCACAAACACAACTTCCTGCACAGGTAGCACTTCAGAAGTGCAATACTCGAGCAAGCGCACAGAGTTTTGACCCACTAAGCTAAGCACTGTGTTTTTTCTCAGCACTCAATACAGCTGCTGCAGAAATGTCTCCACGGTTCTGTTGAGGTCGATGCATACTCATTGGTCCTTGTACAACTGAACTGCATCCTCAAGTTGAATCATTTAAAGGAAAATGTTGCTTCTGTCTCATTCACTTGGACTGCTTTTGTCTAGTTCTACATAGTTAATGTTACATGGGACTTTTGTAAAGTTTTAAACATGTGGCTCAAGTTCCATACACTCTAAATATCAGCACACTAAGATTACATCCTGTTCTGCCTGTAGAGGACGGATATGACCATCTTAAACGTATTTTTTCATGGCAAATCACAGACCAATAGTAATATCAGTCTGTATGTATGTGTGATGCCAGTACGCAGCCTTAAACATTGTATGAAGTGATTGTAAAGGCAAGAGGTCAACTGTCAGCTTCACTTCAGTGCTGACTGTCCAACCAGTCTCAGGAGTACCAGTGTTCTCCAAAAAAGGTGTGTACAGCGGAGAGGCTGCGTTTCATTTTCATTTTTACCCCAGCCAGTCCTGGATGTCTGGCCAGCAGCCAGCGGGGGTACAGGGGGTGTCGGGAACTCGGGGCTTGGGGGTAACATACGATGCTCAGCTCATCAGCTCTATTTTGCATGCTCAGAATAAGCTCAGAGGGCTCCAATTACACAGCTCCCATGCATTGCCACAGTGTCAGCTGTCCGCTGCCAGAAGGATATGATGATTCTGCTCTTTGCATGTAAAAGGATAGCCTCATATTGGGCGTTGTGTTTTAATCCTTGTTACAACTCAAAGAGAGTTCGACAAGCTGCCCTCTATGTGGACTAATTTAATTTATGATCGTAAAAATATTTCTGTGGCACTTTTAACCGCAAAAAAAAAAAAAATCCAAAAAACAGTTACGCCATCTGACAGACACATGCTGGCAGAAACGTACGAGAGGCTGCCGGTGGTGCAGCGCCGCAGACACAAAACCCTCCAGGCCAGAGCCATGTGGGCGCATGTCCAAGGCTGAGGCTTCACAGTGAGAACGGGCCAGAACAACTGAACCCAGGCTGCACTGTATGAATGACTGTGTTCTGATTAAAACACTCTGGGAGAAGGTGTCCTTTAGGGCGTCGATTAATCGTATGTCTTGGTGTGTTCACAGCACAAGTGTTTCTCAGTTAATAGGAGCTTTTCAACCAAAACCAAGAACTGCTCTGATCAGTTTGCAGAAGCTTATGCTCAGTTACATTATAGTACTCAAACAGAAAGGCATTTGTTCCTGTAGTGCACATTATTCCACTCAGTTCCCTGCTGTTGCTGCACGTTTTGTCTTTTATCTGTCTGTAGATGTGTGTAAAAGTCTCATGACTGTGGAGGGAAAAACTGGTTGTGAAAGTGGCCTGACATTGCTTCTGGAAACACCAGCTCTTCACTACAGAAGAATAGAATAGAATAGAATAGAATAGAATAGAACTTTATTGATCCCTTTGGTGCAAACCTCAGGGAAATGGTTGAACTTCTCTGGTTAATTCAGTCACTCACTCTAAAATCAGCACATCTCCCCTCGGTGCCTCATCACATTACGGGCTTTGACAGGTTTTATTAATAGTTGTGTCTTAACGTTTCCTCAAATGCACGTTAACATGTTTAAATGTAAAACTCTGATTAAAAGCTCAGTCAGGTTTTTCACTGTGCTTTTATTCACTACATGATATATATTTACATATTTAAATGATTTTTCTGTCTTGGATACTTATTCCAGCTTCACTTCTCTCTTGAAGTTGAGATTAAATCGGTGTCAGAAGAGCCGCTGTTCAAGACGCCTTTCATTCATATTCATGCTAATTATTAGTCCGATGTTTGCTCAGAAATCAAAACCTGTCACACGATAGATTAACCGTGTGTGTTTGGATGTTTAGTTGTTAATATTAATATGTAACGGCTTGAAGTTGGTCCACCACACGGGACGCTTTTCCTCTCAAGGTCTGTTTTACCAAGTATAAGAATGAAAGTTAAAAAAATTAAAGCTATATAAGTCAGATCAGGCCCAGAAGGCGTTAGCTAGAACTCTGTGCTGGAATCACTGCAGCAACATATTAGCCTTGTAGGGTGAACATGCTGGACCTGTTTCCCGCTCGCTGTGTTACTGTATGTCGGCCGTCAGCCAGCAGCAGAGGACAGGGGAGTTTAAAATACATCTCCATTTATCTTCCAGGGGTTTCAGTGGCTCTGACAGTAGCTGGGTTGTGTGCACGCAAGAATACTAGCGTCAGCAGTGGTTGTCATTGGGCGGGTGAAAAGGACTTGGAGCTTGTGCACAGGGAATGCCGCGGGGCTGAAGGGAAACCAAAGCCTGCCTCTTCATCCGCTGTGAATGGACTACCATATGTCGCCTTAATGAGCAGACAGAGCCTCGGAGCTTGTTACGGCCTCCCTTGGCAGACCAACAAAAACTTTGCATAGCCTGTGTTTCCCTCTAGAAACTGCACCCTGCTGCTGTATGCACGAAGCAGGAATAACCGGCGTATGAGTCCTGCTGTAATGTGAAGAGCAGAGAAAATGACAAGGCCTCTGAGCTGATTCCCTGTAGATACCCAAATCCTCCTTGCCTGTCCACCCTCTTCGTTGTTGTTGTTGTTGTATATTAAACCTGGTGTGTTAAGGTTGATTATATGTGCCTTAACCTCTGCTTTAACTTACACACAGATGACAAAGCACAGGCTGAGCACAGCTAGCAACAACGAGTATCCGCTAAATGTTTTCTTTACAGCGATGATCACAAACTTCCCCAGGATTTCAGAATCTGTGAGTGATTTAGTAGCTTGTTAAATATCTAATCCCCTCATTGTGTGATGTCTTTGTCTCGTAGTGATCTGGCTCTGAGGAACTGCTACCTGACGGCAGATCTTACAGTCAAAGTGGGAGACTATGGCATCGGACCCTACAGATACAAGGTGAGAACAAACCTAATGTCAGATTCTCCATCCCTGTGATCACCTGTAAGCTGTTGGGGACGGTTGTATTAAACTGAACGTGAGCCGACCAGACTTGTAGCAGGTTGTGATTAAAAAATAACAAGCAGAGGTTTACCATCGTTTGTACTGTGCACACTCCTACTAAAACTTCATGAAGCCACTACGGCGTTATGTTTTACAGGTGAGCACACTGAAATCATCTCAAGGGATTCACCTGACTTCATTCATTTGTTTAGAGTCCGTTGCTGTGAACAGACCAGTGTGTTGTCCTGATGACCTAGTTGTCTGAGACACGATGACTGTAGGGTCATCGGTTCAGTTTGGGAACTTTAAATGTTCATCCTTTTTTCTACTCACAGTTATGTTTCCTTCTTGAGACAGTTAGAACTCCTCTGCTTTATTTCCCTGATTCATACGTCCAGTGTGCTGCCTTTAGGTCACAGTGAAAGTCTCCCACATGACCGGACAGAAACTAGATGTTTTTCATCAGAGGCCGTTCAGGTGTTTCCTCTGATCAACTTTATATTTCACAGAAGAATTAAGGGCGTCCTGCGGTGTAACGCGACACGCTGCATATGTCCTAAGGCGGCTCTCTCTGCTGCATTCCTTAAATACTGCTGATGTGTCAGTTTGGCTGTCTGAATTTAATACTCCCAAGATAAGGTCACCCAGTGAGTCTATTTCTGTAAAGAAAGGGGGAGGCAACATGAGAGTGCACTGCCGCAATGAGAGCTAACAAACACACACATTTCTCCTGTTGTTTTTTTTACTGGGTCGTGTTTCTTCAGTTATTCGCAGCGTTTCTTGTTGAGTTTGGAAAAGTTGTGGGAAAGTATAAAGCATCATGTCTGACGTCCTCCTTTGTGTGACGACAGGAGGATTACATCATCACAGAGGATGATGTGTTCGCGCCCCTGCGCTGGCTGGCTCCTGAGCTGGTGGGCGAACGTCATGGGGGAGTGATTACGATGGAGCAGACCAAGCCCAGCAATGTGTGGTAGGAGCTCAGATGTTTTTAAAAACCCTCAACACACTAAGTGAGCCTGGACCTGATCCAGATACATAGATATGAAGCGACACTCTGGAATCAGAAGGGAAGACTTTGAACATCATTTAAGAATGACACAGTGTGAGGTACAGTCTCTAACAAACGTATCAGACCTCCACCCAGTGTCAGGTCTACGCCACAGCGGCCCTAAATTAACAGCACTGGTAATTACCTGAATCATCTCTTATGTATCTGTAGTGGTTCATACACCAGCATGTAGAAGACATTTAACCCAAATGATGTTTTAAATGATATGATATTATTATTATTGTTATCAGGGAATTTTCAAATTCACTGTTTTACAAAGAAACAGAAAGAATACTAAAGCCCATTATTATTTCTGGATTCAGTTGTCAGATTATAGTTATTTACTGGCATTCCTGAACAGAAACAGTCGCTTTAGTGGTTGAATGTGATGCTTGATTCAATTCTGACGTCTCAGAGAAGCCCAGTGGCTCAGATCTGGGAATAAAAAGATGGATTCAGTTCGAATTCCTCATTTCTGTTCAAAATGGTAAAACATGGAGAGCTGAGTGGCATTAAAGCCCTTCATGATGCTGGACGGTCTATAAATATAGACAGTGCTTCAGCTGGTCTAATACAGCGTATGTTGAATATTCTAGGTACAGTTGTGCCGTGCTGTAACTGAACTATACGTGGGTCGTATATGAGGAGTAAAACAAAACAAGATGTAGCAGTAGATGGCTCTGCAGTACGCCTCTAGACAGTCTGGCTGATATTCAAGAGGGGAAATAGACTGTGACACAGCCTTCACGAATGATTGCCCAAGTGCTTTCCAGTCAGACTGCAGCGTTGCATCAGGTAGTTCTCTTTACAATAATCTGGTTTCCCCCTGATCAGAACACGTTGTGGTCCAGACAGCTCCCTTTATGTTCAGATTTTAGGACCAGTGTGCTTCACCTGAACATTGTTTTTACAAGACATCAAGGCCGTTTTCTGACCTTTCAGTGCGTCCTGTTGTTAAACACAGCATCTGTTTCATCCTCCCTTGCCTGCAGGGCCTTGGGGGTCACACTGTGGGAGCTCTTCGAGAACACTGCTCAGCCATACCCACATCTGTCCGACCGGGAGGTTCTCAATCACGTCATCAAGGAGCAACAGGTCAAGCTGTTTAAGCCGCAGCTGGAGCTCCCGTACTCTGACAGATGGTGCGTCTCATTGTAGTGAGCAGCAAGTTAGTGGCATTGTTGAAATTTGAATTATTCAGCTGTTAAAAATGCGTTTCTTCTGTTTCCCCGTACCTTCAGGTACGAGGTCTTGCAGTTCTGCTGGCTGTCCCCAGACAAGCGGGCCACAGCAGAGGAAGTGCACCGTCTGCTCATCTATCTGCGCATGCAAGGCCAGAAGGACATAGAAGAAGACTTTGAGCAGCGCTGGGATGCTCTGAAGCCCAACCCCTCCACTCGGCAGACCACTGTCAGCCATTCCTCCTTCCCAATCCTGGAGCAGTTTGCTGATGACGCCCTGCGACAAGAGATCGATGAAGTCCTGACTGTCACCGAAACAAGCAAAGGGCTCAGCTTTGAGTATGTGTGGGAGGCGGCCAAACACGACCACTACGATGGCAACCACGGGCGCTCCGGGATGGACACCACGCTGAACTACCACAGCATGTTCTTCCCTGTTTCCAGTGAAGACATCCAGGCCCATTTCCCTGATCCTTTGACCAGAGCAGCAGGGGCAGAAAGTGGCAACACTCCTTCAGGAATTCCTGGGATTGTTCCAGTGTTTGATGCACAGAAGCCATCCAATGGGAATGAATATTATATCCAGCTAGAAGAACAGGGGGAGAGCACTGTTGGGGACGATGGCAATAGAGGACAAGACATGGGCTTTAGCTCAAGCCGCCAAGACTTTGTTGTTCTCCAAGATGTCCGTCTGGATGAGTCGAGTACAGATGCCGACTTTTTCCACCAAAGTATTGACTCCAAGGATTCATATTTACCAGACAGCCACATCTGGTCGTCTCTGGAGAACGACAGTCCATATCACACGAATATTTTCAACGAAGGGGGGTCCAGGCAGGACGACTCTCCCTCCTGGAGACAAGGTTTTATGGAGCTTCCAGAGCGTAACGGGAACCCTTTCCATGAAAGTGGCCCTGTTGAGGTCCAGGAGGGGAACAGAGATGAGAGCTATGGGGATTCTTTTTTAGGGGAGGCCACTCACCCGGCCGTGTCTGTGGAAGTGATGGGGGAGAACACAGACGTAAAGAGGCTTCTGACTACTGAAAAGCTTGCTGATAACTTTATGTTTCTCAGAGACCAGAGTCTGATGAAAGAGGGCTCCAGTTTCTCAAGTCTACACCAGAATTTTCTTTTACCTGGCATAGTCCACGAACCTGAAGACGCATTCAAAATGAATTCTTGGAACAACCTTGAGAATTCAGGCAGCTTAAACACAGCAGATGCTTATTTACAACCTGCAGCAAGTAGCACATCTTCAAGACATGAACTTTTAGATTCTCCAAGCACCAGCTTGGGGGAGTTATACCTGGTAGGAAACGAAACACTGGTGCCTTCCATTACAGTGGTCTCAGAAGACAACACAAGCAATCAGCTGCCAGTTAGAAATAGTTCTTCCACCGAAGACCTTGGTCTGCTGCAATCCTCGGACAGAGGTGTGGACTCTGGTTTTGATTCTACCTCAGAGAGGCTCGAGGTTCTGATTAGTCACGCTGATGGCCACGCCCCTGCTTTCTCTGACAGTGCCACGACAGACTCAATGTGCACAGATGCCAAAATTCCCAACCTTGAAGATGACCTTGGAACCTCAAAGGATAGTGCTCAGACGATAAGAAGTGAAATCCCTGAAAACCCACAAGCTCCAGTGTTGTCTTCAGACAACGGACACAGTGAAGACCTAACGAGTAACGATCTGCTGAGCGAGCTGATTGAAGACGCAGACATAGAACTGGAGACCACGCTGTCTGATCACGAGGAGGCTTTTATGGACACTAACGGGCGTCCTGTTGTCAGATCTTCTCTCCTGGTATCTGGTCCATCTTTGGACCAGATCAGCCAGGACAGTTTACTGGAGGACAGTATGTCCACCACGGTTCCAACTGTGGACAACTCGGCTGAAACCCCAGATTCTCTAGACTCTCTGGACATACACCGGCTCGGAGAACAAGGACTGGAGCTGAATGCTCAGGTAGCCCAGCACAAACTCCAGCCTCCATACAAGATCTCTGACAGCGGGTATGAGACGGAGAACCTGGAGTCTCCTGAGTGGAACTCTCAGCAAACTGTCAACGACTGCTCCCCAGTAAAGAATGGCTTGAGTGTTACCAAAGAAGAAGACACAGAAGAGCTCACAGCTGCAACCAGCCTGGTTCCACCAAAAATCATCATCTCAGAAGTGGAGGGTGTGCCGGATGCTCAGAGCGAGGAACCCAGTGAGGACCAGCAGCCAGCTGATGTAGCTCCTCCTGAGGAACCACTGATGGGCAGTAATTACAGAGACTCTGCCTACTTCTCTGACAATGAGTCAGAACCTGAGAAGAAGTCTGAAGAAGCAGCTGCGGGAAGTTCTGTCGAAGTCACGTGGTTGAGGAACTCTGCTGATCTGGTCCAAGGGGCGTCTGGAGGTCCAGCACTGCAAGTTTACAAGGAAAAAGATATCGATTCTTTATTCTCTCAGCAAGAGTCTTCTGTATCTGCTGAAGCACAGCCTGCTGCTGGAGAAACACCTGATGCTCATGTTGGGGACACACATCCAGAAGTGGATTCAGAACTCACACAGAACCGTGAGACTGAGGCGGCAGAGTCTATCAACAGCCATATCGAAGATGGAAATAAACCAGAGCTTTTCAAGGACGCAACATTTCTGGAGCAGTCAGAAGATCTGACACCCTCAACAGCTGCTCCTGCTGCCCCATCAGAACCAGCTCCAGGGAGCGCAGTCCACGCTAAACTAGTCAGGACTTACGCCAGCGACGGTCATAAAATAAAGGAGCCGGATGTGGAGGGCCGGTACCTGGGGAGGCGGGATGGTTCCGGTCTGGATGGACAGGAGGACGACGTGGACGCAGACGAGGAGGATGAGAACAGCGACGACTCTGACGACGACATCCGAGCGTACCAGATGCACAGCTCCAGCTCTGAGAGCGAGGACGAGGCGGTGCACACGGTGCCGCTGATCATCTCAGACGACAGCAGCGCCAAGAACCTGAAGAGCTTATTGAAGCCCACAGCGCTGAACATTGAGGCTTCATCGTCGCCGTTTTCAACGAGGGGCGGCGCAGACAACTCCAGAAGAGCCGTGTCCTTCTTCGACGATGTCACCGTCTACCTGTTTGACCAGGTAAAGGAATAGCATGGTTTAGTTTCTGTCATAAGAACTGTTTCAGAGGTGTGGCCTCTCGCTAACTCTGATGCTCTGTGATGCAGGAGACTCCCACTAAGGAGCTGGGCGACCACTCCTCAGGCTCCAACAGTCAGGTGCCAGAGTTCAGCAGCCCCGTGCCCACTGCCAGCTACCTGAACCGCTTCACCAACTCTGAGAGCTCAACAGATGAAGAAGGTGATCCTGAAGTCCACCAGCAGCAGCTGAAGATGTCTGCTGCTGTTAGATGTCCTGACCAATGTGTTAAACTCTTACAGGTGGTGGTTTTGAGTGGGACGATGACTTCTCCTCCCCTTCACCTGCATTCCTGTCCAAGGCGGATAAAGCCCCGGTGTCTAAGGCCATGTCCTCCTCTGCAGCGTCGTCCTTCTCCTCTCCGGCTCCTGCAGTAGGACGAGTGCTGGAGCCCAGCTGGAGCAGCTCCTCCAGCTACTCGCGCTTCTCCATCTCACCGGCCAGCATCGCCAGCTTCTCGCTGACACACCTCACCGACTCTGACATCGAACAAGGAGGCAAGTAACACCAAAGGCTGCATGAACTGGTCAAGGAAAAATAATGATAGGAAAGACGATTAATACCCCTGTAACGTCTGTACAGTAGGGCTGAAACAATTCCTCGAATATTTTGATTACTGAAATGCCTCGAGGCTTCGTTTAATCCACGATATGCTGTCGGATGTCGGCCGTGTTCCGCCCGGACGGTTATGTTTGTTGCACAGTGCGCTCACTCCCGCTTCTGATGCTGTAGCGAGCGGCCAGACACGAAAACGGTGAGCAGCAGCGAGTAACCGGCAGAGAAAACCACGTATTACTATTAAACTAAGTTATAATAACTAAAATTAAATATACTTTTATCCAATTACTCGATTAATCGCCAGAATAATCGTTCGAATACTTGATCAATAAAATAGTGGATAGCTGCAACTGCTGTACAGTAAATAGGAAGATTTGTCTCTCAGGTGATTAGCGTAGCTTAGCTTGGCTTAGCTTAGCATTTGGGGAAGACCCTGCTAGTTGCCTGACAGCACCGAGGACAGGAAGCTGTTGCACCAGTGGAAGAAATAAATTGGGCGAGAATCACTCGAAACATGTGCTGCTGCACTTCAAATCAGGCAAAGGTGTTGATAATGAGGCCTTCCAGGTGCTGCTCCTGGAAGTTTCTCACCTGCCGAGCTGCAACCAAATAACCAGCCAGGTTCTGTAAACAAGGAAGCTGGTCCAGACACGTGTGTTGCTGTCACGTTCACATACTGTGGTGATGATGTTTACTGCAGTGTGAAGCAGAAGGATGGCTAGCAGTAGAGACAGCTTACATATCTCTTTTGTCCAATATATTAAAGTTTTGATGCCACAAAGCATTTAAAAACAAACAAAAAAAACAAAGTTGAATTTCTTTGACTTTGTACATAAATTTTAAAAAACCCAGAATCAACACTTGTAGCCTTCACCAGTGTGTCCTCAGGTGTCAGGGACCGTCTGAAACATGCCTACCAGATGTTTGTGCTGACATCTGCTAACTGATAGCTGTGAACACAACCTGCAGTTCAACCAAGAAGTCCTCCGGCTTGTGTCACGCCACTGATGGCTTCTGGGTTGTTTCGTGTTTCTTGTTGTTCTTCTGCAAACTGTTCATGTCTGACACGTTTTAACCAGGACTTGTAGGATGGAGGGATGCTGAGTCAGTCTTCCTGTTTGTAGCTGAGATTTGGTCGTTTTTTTTTCACCAAAGAAACCAAAAGTCACACGTGGTTAGTTCAAGGACTGTTGGAACTCTGACAGTTTAGTTTTAGTCATCTGTGCTAAAAGACATGATTAAACTTACATCTTCCTCTTTTGTCCACACCAGGAAGCAGTGAAGACGGAGAAAAGGACTAGTGCGCTAACCGAAGCGACCGTTGATCGTCACGCCACTGAGATACGAAGCTAAACTCGTGCTCTTTGAATCGACTGAATACGGACAGATGACGAAAACTGTGGATGCTTCTCTCAGGCAGAACTGTTCTCGGTGGGTTTGACCACCAGAGCAAAGACTGTAAACTGACTTTCAGCAAATAAGACGGACGAGGCCCAGTCTGAGCCGCTCCACCTCTCCAGCTCCACCCGTGTGTGATCTTCAGTTCAGTGCAATTACAATTTGGAAAAAAGAAAAAAAAAGAAACAAAACCGTGCGAGCTTCTAAATGTTTGCTTTAAAGACTCATCATGCGTGTTCCAGGTGTTTGGCTGCTTCTTTTCAGTGTGTGTCCAAGTGCACTCCTTTTCCAGGACTTTTGCTTCACCAAAAAACTCAAAAGTTAAAAAAGAAAACACTTTATGTTCTGAGTTCAACACGCTGGCCGAGCAAACGTGTCACTACAGCCAAACAGCAGTCGGCTCTGGTTCACCAGACCTGAACCTGAAGCTTCATCTGTAACATTCTTAATTTCTCTCCTTCATGTTGTGCGATTATTTCAGTGGTTGCCTTTTTTGTTTTTTGTAACTTCATGTTGAGTTTAATCACAGTCTCCTACTGGGAGAGAAACTGCGTGTGGAATCCTTCTGTAGCAGCATTTAGACAGAGATGGTTGGCTGTGGAGGCACCATGTATGCATGGGATGATCAGAAGACGTACAATCCCTCATCTGCAGGGGCGACACACTCGATGTTCCTTTGTCTATGTGTGGAAGGAACATTCACAGTAAGCTGAGTCTTATTTTTGAGACGAGGATAATCGTCCTCCCAGGGCGCTCCAACTGTAAGACAGTTGTGAGGACAAACTGAAAAACAAGTTGTTGATTTTGTAAAGCTTTATTTTATCCTCTGACGTGTGCAGGACGTTGCTGGGAGGGTTCGGCCGCCCCGTGGTGCCCGGTCATGCTGTAAAGACAGCTGCACTCCTCTTATCACTACAAAACTTCAAATCAGGCGTTGAGCAGGATTGTGTTTAAAAAAGAAAAAAAAAAGAAAAGAAAAGTGGGAGATTTTATTTTTAAATGTCAGGATGAAGAAGACGTCTCGAGCTGTCTGTAAACAAATGTGCAATGAATTGAATGAATTAGTTTGATTGGTTGGTGGACGACCCGGTGGTGGATCTCCGGTACCGTGCAGGGACTCTAAGCGTCACACGAACTCACTACTAGAACAAAACCACTGCTGCTTTTATAAACTTGAGTGTCATGGACAGAGTTGTTTGCCTTTTTTGTTTTGTTTTTTTAAACTTTGTGTCAAACAGATTTCCCTCTGAAACGACGTCTGTCCGGCTGCAGTCGAGCATTTCATGGTACGGTCGGAGGCCGTACGGCGTCTGGACGGGGCGTGTCCTGATCAGTTCCTGTACAGAAGCAGAACGGTCACAGATCAAGACGTGTTCGTGTACAGCTTTAAATCAGTCATCTGGAACTGTAGCTTATACAGTTACTGTTTGGATCTTTTCATTGACTCAGACTCAGATGTTGTGTCTCTGAGCAGCTGTACCTCCCCTGCAGTAGATAGGAGTCCATCTCACCGCCCCAACAGAACCACTGTATGTTGAAACCAGCAGCCTGTGCTTCAGTTAAACTTGAACATCTATTTAAGGAAGTCTCGTTTTATTTGACTACAGTATACATTTGCTTAATCTTGCACATTTGAGAAATGTAACTTAATGTTGAACTGTACTGATGTATATAAATGTTGATTATTTTTCTTTTGTTTCGGTCTGTAAATGGGAACTGATGTAACTGAGTTCTAGGTATGAGGTTTCATTTTGTTAACTTAAAGCTGAGTTAAATCAGAGGAACATATCATCACAGTCATCAGCTTCAAGCAGTTAAATTAAAAACACAAGAGCAGATGTGGATTCATTCTGTCCTTTAAACTTGTAGATTTTAAAAAAATATTTTTACTTCATATTGATCATGCTTAGTGTAATTGAATGAAATGTTTATAATTACACTGTTTAATATGAAAATAAATGCAAATGAACTTCTAATGAAGGTTTGGGTCTGGCGTGGCGTTCTTCAGTGCACATCATGGACGTGTTGGCATGTTTGGTGTCTGTCCAGATGTGTTGCAGGAAAGAAAAGAACGCAGAGCTGAAGGATGTGAACGCAGTTACCGTGGTGACAAGGAACCAGGAGGAGACTCATCTGGACCAGAACATCCAGCGCTCTGGGCCGGTCGGAGGGAGTCTCATGAGGCTTCAGGTCTTTTTCTGTCGACCTTTCTGCCTTTATGTGACATCCACCCATCATCTCTACACCTTCATCCTCACTAGTGTGGTGGGGGGCGGAGCCTATCCCAGCTGACTCAGGGTGAAGGCAGGTTCACCTGGACAGGTAACCAGTCTATCACAGGGCTACACTTAGAGACAGACAACCAAGCACACTCACATTCACACCTACGGACAATTTACAATCACCAATTAACCTCAGCATGTTTCTGGACTGTGGGAGGAAGCCGGAGAACCCGGAGAGAACCCACGCTGCACGGGGAGAACATGGAGACTCCACGCAGAAAGATCCCGGGTGTCCTCACCGGGACGCCAACCGGCGACCTTCTGGCTGTGAGGCCACGGTGCTACCGTGCAGTCCCACAGTTAAACCTGAGATGAATAATATTTAAAGTCAGATTTGGATGGATGAGGTTTTAATAGGACGGACACTAGGACCCAGTGGAGGTAGAAGCGCCTTACCTGTTAAAGCAGGTAGCACAGGTAACCAGTCAGCTTCATTCTAACTCATATTGATCTGTGTTTTCACATGTCATTACAAGAGCTGGTTTTCTGTTGTTACTTCCACAAAGTGCTGGTTGTTTTTAATTTATTTTCTGTTCAGGTGTTTTTAGCGCCGCTGGCTGCAGGAGAGGAGCTCACCTGTTGATTTGTGGTGATGTGACTCCAGGTTGGCTGTGGTGGCAGGAAAAAAGGTTCTCATTCTGGATGTAGTTCTGGTTATTTGCTGCAGGTTGACTCACTTGGATGCCAAAATTCTTCTTCAGAGTGGGTTTGTGGTTCAAACGTATTGGTTCGATTACTCCACTGTTCAGCATGTGAGCAGAGTTACAGGTGAGCTGGTGTGCTCGAGCTGCAGCAGACGGCTGGAGGAAGAGGCAGGGACACATCCTAGACTTACATCTACACCGTTTTAGGGCAGAAAAACTTTAAACTTTGATACACAAAATTGAGCTTCAAGTGGTGTAATCAGTGACCGGTGAGGGAAGTGAAGAATTTTCAGGATGGTGATGGAGAACTTTTCAACAAAACGAAGCATTTTTATGTGTCGTAAACCTGCTTAGAGGGAAGCTTTAGGTCGGCTGCAGCATGAGTGGTCATGAAGCAGCAGTGTGGATGTTAATCATGAACAAAATCACACCGATTAGCATTTTCTCAGAAGCTATGACAGGTTTTCAGAATGAAACAATCTTCTCTGCTGCAATCGACGTGTTTCCAGAATCTGCTGTGATGTAGATGTGAACAACATCGGAACACAGGGGAGTGTTTTTAGACTTTTATTTCACATTTCAATGCCCTTGTAAGATGAATGTCCGGTCATGGTGACATTCAGACCTGCTGCAGTGTCAACAGTCTCATGAGGACAGGTGTAATACTAACAGGAAGTACTTATTGCAGGACAGAGAGGTAACATCTGGTGGTACAGAGCAAATGTTTCAGACGGTGTCTCAGATCTTACCCCTCAGTATCAGGAAGGCTTGTCCTATGGGCGAAGGAGCACTCCATAGCAAACGTATAACAGGCCAAAAATAAACGGAGAAACGAAATCCAGGTAATGCATAATTAATAAATAAATAAATAAATAAATAAACAGACAAAACCACATGCAAATGTATGACAAGCAAATCAGACACAAAACAAACAGAACAGCAACATTCTACAAACCGGTACAGTTGAGGCTACAGAGGGGTGGTGTCTGGTTGGAGGTGGTGACCGTAGCCCTTCGTCAGAACCCGACCCTGTTCACTAGAGTAAAGCTATTGCTGGATCCCATCAAACCCAGGAGCCAAAGTAGGAGCAAACACATGCACTTGTGTTTATGAACTGTCTCAGGACGTGGAGATCCGTCCTCGCTTTGGGCTCAGCCTCGGCTCTGAGGCGAACCTTCATCCATCCATCAGGAGCCAGATCCACCAAACGTCTAAAGTTGTGCGTTCCCCTGACAGGAAGGGAGAAGATGGTCGGAGGAGAGGAGCGGAGATCCAGGCACAAACAGGGCTGCAGGAGGAGATGGGCGGAGCTACACCACCACGGCGCTTCCGTTCACCTGAGCCGGGGGCCGCTGGGGGGCGGGGCTCCGCGAGGGGCCCCCAGGTGGAGGCTGGGCGCCACGAGGGGCCTCGGAGGAGTTTCCTCTCACGCTGATGTGCTCCCATCCTCCCTGGACGCCAAACACAAAGAGAAACGGTAAAGACTGCATCTGAATGTAGCGATGAGCTAAAATACAGTTTTAAACCGTGTTCATTCAATAAAGATAAGATAAGATAAGATAAGATATGCCTTTATTTATAAAATATATATAAATCTAATATAACTGCACAAAATACAGAACATTGGTCTCTAAATAAGTCATGGGTCATATTTCTGGGAGTATAAAGACAAACACAGTAGACATGGACATGAATTCAAACCTATTATTCTGAAAAGCACAAAAAACGCAACAGAAACATTTCTTCTCCTCAAAGCTGCGTGTTTTTATCCAGGACAGAACCGTGATGGACGGGTCTGGGCAGCAGACACTTTAAATGTCAACACACATCAGTTCTGTCCTGTACTTTGGTCAGTAGTTGTTGATTGTATGCATCAATCACAGGCTTCATAAAGTCTGACTGCGAACACCCGCAAAGTATTTTATAATCATTACATCTGAAATATAAACTTCTGGTTTTCTGTTCGAATACAACAGAGAAGATAACTTTGTTGGATCAACAAACACAGATCTTCATGTCTCCAAACACCTCGAATGCAAAGTTACTGGATAGAAATGTAGTTTTTTTATTTTTTTTTTTTAACAAAAAACGATGTCAAGCTCTTTTCATACGAAGCCGAGAGTTTTTCTGTTCTTGATTGCTTGATTTCAACTTCTCAGATATTTCATCCTTTTATCGTTTTCACAGGAAGTTCTCACAGAATCAGTTTCAAGTTTCTCCACAGCTTCTGCTTGTGTTGCTGAAGCCGTGAGCTGAACGCATCCAGAACCTACAGATATTTAGAGTTGGATGCTTCTTCACGATGAGGACGTCATGCAGCTGCTGAAAACAGCCTCCAACCACACTGTTCACTACAAAGATCTACCCATGGATTTAAAGATGCACTGATCTCCAGTTGGTCCACAGCGGGGGAGTCGTGATGAAACACGGGATGAATTAAAAGTTGGTGTTTTTTTAATGTGATTTGTTGAGAATCCAAAAAATACAGAATAACATCACATTTGTTCTGCGTGTTTGAAGGTTTACTGTCATTACTTCAGTGTTTTTCTCGGAGCACATATGAACCCACAGCAGCTGCTCCCTTCAAACATCATCTCTGATGCAGAAGCTAACAAAACATCTCAGCTTCCTTCCACATTATTAAATGAATTTGACTGATAAAGGACCCACCCCGATGCCGTAGTCCCAGGACTGGCCCTTGGGCTCCATCGGTCCCACCCCCAGCCGGTGGCACACGGCTCCAGGAGTCTCAGCAGGAAAACCTGGAACTCCATCTGCGATGATCCACACCTGCAGACAACAGCAGCGCTGAGCCAAACTCCAGCCAGCTGTTGGACACACCTACCGCTGTCCTCACTGGCTGCAGCTTTCTGAGGTTACACATTTTAAAACACTTTGGTAAACACTCAGCCTCAGCTTGGCTCCCTGTCCTCTGCAGACACTGACCTGGTCCAGCGGGCCCACAGAGACCTTGGTGACGTTGTTGGAGATGAGCTCCCAGGCGGAGCCCTGAGGGTAGCTGGGGGTGAGGCCCTGTCTGTACCACAGGTTACCTGTCAGAGCACATTGATCGCTGCTGTTATTCAGTCTGAAACGGATTAAAGGTGTGAATCAAACAGCATCGAACGTTACTCACTGTTCTCATCCACAGCAAAGACAGAAGTCCTGCCCACCGACAGCTGTCTGAGGGTCTGTCTGAGCGGAGAGGGGATGTGGTACCAGCATTCTCCTGCAGAGGGACCAGAGCTCTGGGTCACGTCTGGCTTTGGATGCATGATTCAAGGCTAAATCTTTGCTTTCTGCTCCTGCAGCTGACATGATGACTGCAGTTGAACCCGAGGCTCAAGCTGCTGCCAATGTTCTGAGTAAAATCTAAAGTCTGAGACCTCTGTGGAAACAAGCCGGTCATGGCTCGAGGTCCAGAGAGCTCCGAAAAGTCTTTAGTGCAGCACAACAGAAGTACAAACCCATAAATCATACAAAAGAATAAAACCAGGATGAATTCATGTGATTTTACAACCATGCACCACATTTCTCCTGCAGGAACACTGGAAACAGCAGCAGCTTTACATGCTGCAGATATTTGACTGTTTATATCTTTCATTTGTTTTCCTGCTTGTCTCTTATCTGTAAAAACAGTCTGCAGTTCAAAGAAGTCCCAGAACTTTTGCCAGATAACTGTTGGAGCTGTTGTGGCGTCTCAGCTGTCCTGAGCTAGTTTTTTATTTACATCTGGTTAAAGCAAAAGGTTCATTTTTGGCAAATTGTTACCAAAGACATGCAGATTAAAGTGATTTAGATGAAATGTGACTGCTTTAAGTTTTCAGAACAACAACAGGTCACACATGATTGAACCATCAGAAGGTTCTATTTTAATTGGACTTTGGGTGATTTCTTTTTGAGGACAACGTGTATTTTAAACCCTCTGGTGGGTTTTTGGGTTCAGACACTAACTGACCTGCAGGGTTCTGTGGAGACACTGATCCTCGGTAGAACACGGCGCCGTCCTTTGCAATAGCCCACACCTGATTGGCTCCGCCGATGGAGATGGACTTAAAGGGCTGGTCGGTGCCGACGTGTAGCCAGGAGCTGCCCTGTGGCACCAGACACCGCCGAGTTAGACTTAAGGGTTTCACAAACTACTATGATCTGGAAAGATCTGGAACTGTGCAGCAGCTCGAGACAACCTTTTAAATTATTGTCAGAAACAGATTTTCAACACGTTTCTCACCGCTGGATTCTGCTGGCTGACTCCCAGACGACACAACACGTCTCCCTTGTCGCTGAGGGCCCAGACTGGGACCTGCTCCATCTGGCTCTGGGCCAGACAAGGCATCAGCGAGATGTCAGTCAGACGGATGGGCGGGACTTGCTGCCACGGACCTCTCACCGTGATCTTACACTTCCTGTACGCAGGAACGTTAGTCACGATGCTGCTCATCTAGACGGTGAGCTATGTAGTTCAGAAATGAGCGCTTACCTCGTCCATCTCCGGCGCCTCACAAAGTCTTTTATGGTTTTGTGGCCATGAAACGTCCTGCAGGGCAGAGACGAGTCAGACAAACAGCACAACTCTTACATCTGACGTTTAGATGTCTTTTTGGAGATGATAGGTGGTACGTACGTGGGGAAGTCTGCAGCGTACTGCCAGCCTTCTTTGTCAGTTCCTCCAGGGACCATGAAGTCCACGGCCCACTCCGACACCTGCAGCAAAGAAGAGGAATCAAACAGGAATGTACAGAGACAGAGGAACTGTGGAGGAACTCATGGCGAGGGTTGGACCTACCCAGGACCACCGAGGGGAGGGAGGGTGTGTGCTGCCTTTGGTGCACTCCTTCAGCCCGCTCTCATCGCTCCACATGGGTCGGTCCGTAGGAAGTCCTCTGCAGGAGGGAGCCACAAACACGGGAGGTTTTAGTCTGCAAAGGTCAGGATTCGGTGCACAGACTTTAAACATGTAAAAGCTGATCTGGTCCTACTTGTCGGTGTATCCGGTCATCGGGTTCCATCTCTGGTTCTCGTACACGTGGACGCTCCTGATATCCGTCTGATGCTGCATCTGAGCAGCATCTCCTGCAGTAAACAGACAGACGTTAATGCGCAAATAAACGTCTGTTTAAACATGCATTTGTGTGTCTACAGACTGCAACGGAGCAAATTCACACCAAGCTGGTAGCAAGAAGTCAGTAGAGAAGTCGATAACTCACTCATTAGCACATAGATGTTTAAATTCTGCAGCATCATCATCAGCAGCAGTTATTAAATCAGTCTACATGGACTTTATGGTGAACTGTGTCTGTAAAGCTGGAGGAAACATGGCTGACTGCCTGCAAGACGTTTACCCGAGCCGGGCCCGCTGTAGACCCAGGCGGTGCCGTCCCACCCGATGCCCCACACCAGCCCCAGACTGTTAGACTCTACACAGCGCAGGTGACCCGGAACCTGCCGCCAGAACCTGCAGCAGCGCACAGCGGAAGCACCAGCGTTAGCATCAGCACACACGTTAGCACGCAAAGTTCTGCCACAAAGAGTTTGGAAGAGACAAACACACAAAGCTGCACAAATACCGAGACGGTGCTGCGTGTTAGTGACGTGTTAGTGACGTGTTAGTGACGTGTTAGTGACGTGTTAGTGACGTGTCAGTGACGTGTTGACCGGCAGGTCGCAGAATCAGGACAATGTCAACAACAAAAAAGACAGGAGAGCAGGTCAGGACGATGAGAAAGAGCGTAAAAAGTCTCGGTGTCAGGCTCACATGAGGTCAGAGGCCAGAGCGTGTGCAGCGGCCTCCAGGGAGAAGGACGGCTCGTGGACCATGATGTCCCCCTTCGACGTAGTGGACCACAGCGCCTGTCTGGACGGAGGACCAGCGATCCCTCGACACTCACAGCAACAGTCAGACAACAGGCTCAGCTGAACACACAGGACAGGCAACCATCAGTGAGGAGGGAAGGTAGAACATGTGATGTTTGCTGCTTTAATAAAAGCCCTTCGTACCCAGTCATCCATGTCCTGTTCCGTCGGTGCTGCCAGGACCAGAGGCCACCTCTGTTTGGTCCTCTCGGCCGTGTACACAGCAAAGGCATAGTGGCAGTCTCTGAGCACCGGAACCAGCACCGTCACCTCATTTATGAACACATGAAGGTACTGGACATGAAGAGAGAGAGACTGTGAGTCTACAGAATATGTTTACCTTCTATGAGACTCTAACCGGCCGGGACTTTACAACAAAGCTCACCTTTTTCTCATCGTACTGTGTGTAATAGACAAAGAAGATGCTGTCCTTCCTGCCGTCAGCCTTGGTGGACTGCTCGAGAGCAACGCCCACGTCGACCCAGCGCTGAGGCTTCCAGTCCCTCCACCAGCGCAGCGAGCCTTTACGCACCCAGACCGACTGGACACAGCAGAGATGGACGCATGTCAGCAACGACAGTCTGAGGCTGT